CCAGCCAGCTGCCTTCGCAGCTCCTCCCTGAGCAGCACAACAGCAGCGGCAACTGATGGCACTGCTGCCTGCTGCTCTGACCCACCACCACAAACCTGCTGATACGTACCACTAAATGCTGCATGAGCCAATGTCACAGGCACAGAGCTAGTACCAGCCACCACTTCTGCTGCCAGAGATGAGGATATCCGGCAAAGAAAGAAAACTCCCCAACATAAAGTCTTTGTGGTCACCAGAAAAAGAGAAAGCAGCACTGTAAAACAACTCCTCAGAATTCAAGGATCACCCCCAGTCCCCAGTCTGTGAATCGGTGGCGTGCTGCTCATCAATATAGACTTAGATGTCCTACCTCTGTAAAAACATACCAGGAAAGTATGTAATATGTAGAAGACCTATATGAAGAGGGGCTCAAGTCTCTCTCCCCTGTACAAACTCTGAGTACAAGATTGTACCTTCACAGTGACTTAAACAATGGCCTCACACTCAACCAGAAAAAAATAAAATTGAGAGAGGGAATTGGTTTTTTTAAAACCATTCAGTCCAAGGAAAGAAATTAAATCCTCATCTTGATCTGACACAGTAGGATTTGGGCCTATTGGCCAGTTTTAAGGCAGTCACCTCTCACTGCTATGTCTATTTTGTTATGACACGCTGCAGCACACACCCCACAGGCTCAGCTTGCTGACAGAACATCCAGTCAAAATCAGTGGGGCTGGCTGAGCACCTCCACAGATGCCTGGCTGGAGAGGGGACAAGGCATCAATCTTCTCCAGTATGGTCAGTTTGAGCAAAACAGCTACCGGGGGAAAAGAACCATAGCACCCACACTCTTGGAATGGCTGTGCTTGAGTGAAAACATTCACATTGACTATCAAAGATAACTGCTCACACATTGTGTTTTAATGATCTACACAAGCTTTGCTGGATATTACAGAAGCAGCATTCTCCCTTTGTTTGCCCACGTGTCCAGAAATACAGAAGCCTGCCTTGAATTTTCTTACAACTTCCGTCTGTGCTAGCTCCACTTGCTCTTGACACCACTCCATAGCACAAGCAGGGTTCACTTCTAGCACACTAGCTGTTTGCCAGCAGGCCTAGGGAGACACTGCCCCAAGAGGCACAGGTTCTTCTCAGATCCTTTTTTTCCACAGAAAATAGAAAGGATTCAGTTTAATTTTATTTGTATTATAAAAAAGCAAGCAGCAGGAACAGACAAGCTCATAGTAATAAATATACTATGAAGATAAGGAGAAAAAAAAAAAAGTGAGGAGCTAATCTATGCAGCAACTCAGCCAGCCCGGGAGGACTGGGAGACCTCTGCAGGCTCCAGAGGGAAGTCCTTTATCGAAAAGAGAACTGAAGTGGCTGAAGTTCACTCTCTCATATGCGTTTCTTTAACCTGTATCAAAGCCCTGGTAAGGGATGTCTCCACAAGCTGCAGCCACTTTGACCCTTTCAATCACTGCAGCAGCTTTTAGCCAACCTGAAAACACATTTTTTGTCTTTTGTGGAGAATAATTACCAGTCCCAGATACACATATCTGCAACACCTACTTTCTTGCTTCTTTTTTTTCTCTTTTCAGCTCAGCTCACAGTAGCAGCAAACTCTATGGCAGGCTCGGTTGTGGACACAGCGGGAAGAAACATCATGGCTACCTTCTAAAACCTGCACAGCAGCTGAACAGAATAGGTTAAGGAAATGGGTTCAGAGTGTATTTTCAGTGCACAGAGGTTCTCTTTCCTCAAAGCAGGTACCCTTGCCTTCAAACATCCCACGCAGAAAGGGTCTTGGAGGGCGCACAGCAAGCACAGACAAATGCCTGGTACCTGTGCAAAAAGCAACAGAAAAAGCATGCGCTGAGCTCTTCAGAGGTACCGACTGGTGCTGGGCTACAGGCAAGTCCTGAGAGATGTTCTGCAGCCACTCTTACTAATTCACTTCCTTGCCTTGGTCGGTTCACCTCCAAGATCCCAGAACTTGGCCACACTGAGCCTCTTCTGTAAAAAGCTGTTTCGGAGAGACCTGTGCTTCTGGCAGCACTGAGCACAGCAGTGGGACTTGTTCCTGGCACCACAGAGAGACTGTGGAACACGTGGGCTATAAGGCAGCTGGAACTAACGGAGACAATCTTAAAAAAAAAGTTTTCTTCATGGAAATCGGTAAATTTCTGTTTTTCTTAAGAGTGCTAATGTTGCTGTACTTCACAAAACTACAGATGCAAGGTCTTCACAGTTTAACTCACAACTACAAACTGTTTAACATGAAATCATAATGATGAAGAGTATGTCAGACACTAATACAGTTCCTTCACTTTTTCTATACGGAGAAAAACTTCACCAGATTAACTGCATTTAAATAGCGTAAGTACCTGCTAAGAGGCTGCGAAAGGTACAGCTGAGCTCCACTGCTACTACCAAAGCAGCACACCTTAGGTACGCACTGCGATGAGATGGATGAATCCTGGACGTAATCGAACTTAAGGAACCCGATGGTTAGATTCACCTATACACAAAGAGCTGTTTTTTGTCTTTTCTCCTGCTCTCGTGATCTTATCACAGATGGTTTTCTATCAAGCTGCTCTAGACACTGGTTTAAATCCTGTTGTAGACTTGATTCTGGATATGGCAAAGCCCTTTTAGTGCTTCCAGAGGGTTGCTGCATCTGCCTGGGGTCTGTTGTCTCTGAACAAAGCGGACTGGAACAGCTGAAGCGGGAGCCATGGTCGAAGGAGCACAACAGTGCAGAGAGCCCAGCTTCTGGAGGCACAGCGACGCTCACCCCAGTGTGGGGAGAGACTGCAGTGTGCAGTCCCCGACTTCAGAAGCAGCAGCACCCCAACACCCATACAGTTTCTTTGTTCACCAGAAGGGAAAGAAAAACCTACACTGTTGTTTCCATTTTTTGTTTTGCTTCCTTTTATTAACAGCTGCATCATACTGTCATGCACCTGTGTGTGAGAGAGAAGGGAAACCAATCTGCTTCCCCCCAGACAAAGGCACAACACAACAGAGTGCATCCCAGGGTACTCCTGCAGCTGCCTGAGCTGGACCAACAGGAGGGAAACCAGTTCAGCCTCCGGCTCTGCTGCTAAGCATGAGCTGCACTGGTGACTTGCTTCTTATAGGTTGTAGATCCAGTGGCAGTTTGAAATGATTCTCGCTGAATAACTACATGAATAGTTTTTTAGAGGCAGAATGGCTAAAGTATTTTTATTAAGAGCAGTACAAGTAACAGAGCCCTCTTCTTTTTCTGAGGGCTGGATGGGGAAACTGGGCCAAGAAGATTAAGCTTAAAACACTGAGGGCAGCAAGACTTTGGAATAAATTGCCCAGAGATGTTGTGGCTGCCCCCTCGCTGGAGGTGTTCAAGGCCAAGTTGGATGGAGCCTTGAGTAGCCTGATCTAGTTGAGAGGCGTCCCTGCCCATGACAGGGAGGTGGGACTATATGATCTCTAAGGTCCCTTCCAGCCTAGGCCAGTCTATGATTCGATGATTCTATGACATGTGTTGACTTTTAATGGCTAGATTTTAATTGTATTTCTGTGAGCATATGAAGGCATGTTACATGTTAAGTTAAACCCATGAGATGCCTAGGATACAGCTGACCAAAACTGAAAGCTCTGTCTCCACGGTTTTGGGTGCGTTCCTGTTCTGCATCCCTTCCACAGAACAGAGGGAAGGACGCAGAACACAGATCTCACTCTATGGGAAGCAATATATCAAAAATAAGCAATATAAGGAATAATAGAAGCAATATATACAAATAATATAAGCAATATACACAAAAATAACAGCAGCTATACTTGCCTTTGTCAATCAAGAGTCCCCTTCTTTGGGATACAGCAACTATATCACCACATAACAAAATAACCTACACATTCATGCATGTTTATATTCAGACATATATCTATCTACACACTATATATATATATTTGTATTTATATACACACATCCACAAACACAAACATTTAGGCACCTGCTTTTCATGCTCCAAAATAGCTGACTTCTCTGGAAAACCTAACCCAAAAGGCTTGGTTTAGACCTGAACAAGCTACCAATTCATAGCTGGAGCCATTTCACCATAGGCACATATGCATGCTTTCACAACTCTTTGATTTTTAAGTTCCTTTGTTAAGTCCTACGTTTATCTAGATTATAAAATCTCTGTGGCACTAGCTGCTTTTCTTTTCTGTAAGTGCCTGGTCCACTTTTGGCATCTACAAAATAAATTATCTACATGGAGATAGCTGCTGAGTGTATTCAAAGTGCTGGGCACAATCTCATCCAGTGCAGTGCTGGGAAAAAGAAAAAAAGGGAAAAGGAAAAAAGTATCCCTTGCTGCAACATCGCTTCTTACCACTCACTAGAGATGTCTGCCTCCATCTGATAACAGGACTTCCTGTACCCTACACAAAGCTGGCAGAGATGCTTTAATACTGACAAGCACAAACTGCATCCTTCAATTTTTGTTAATTGTTTACATACTGAATAGCATGTCTTAAAGAAACAAGGCAGAGATGTCAGGCCTCACAGTAAAGCTTTGTATGTCTTCTTTTTAAGGGCCGCTCTTTAACTTTTACAAAAACTGACTTTGTTTGGATTTGCCACTTTCCCAATAACTTCAGCATTCGAAGTTTTTTGATTTTGGGAAAATCAGGTAAGGAAGTGATCAGAAATACACATTCAATAAATTATTTTGTCCTGAGTCAAACTGAACAGAAGAGAGGCAAAAAACTACAAGTTTAGTTTTTCAAATCATGAAAGTAACACAAGTCAAGATTGGTTTAAAAACTGATCCTTGGGCAGACAAACAGACAGAGCTCTATGAAATACAACAGAGTTGTGCTGATTTGTATTCTCTTAAGACCTACCTGACCATTGTTTTACGGGGGTTTTGTTTGCTTTTTTTATAAACATGCATCTGCTTTTTCAAGATAAACATTAAAAACAAATAGGAAAGTCCCCCTATCTGCAGAAACAATAAAGCATCAGCACAAACCTGTGTTTCCTTGGATGTCCTGTCCCTTGGTTATCGCCAGGTAAGAGAGCAGAGCACAGCTATTGTCCTGACCAGGCGCAGGGGGCTGCTGCAGGGAGGTGCCCGTGAAGACCACTCCCCAGTTCACATGGCTGATATCGGAGCGTGACCTGTTGTGTCCTGGCTTGAATGTGGACGCTTCCTCGTTCTGCACCAGGATATCATTCACCGAGCGAGGCCTGTCTCTCCTCCGCTGGCAGATACCGAAGATGTTGAAAGCTGCAGTCTCCCCTTCCCCAGCCCAAGCAAGGTTGTCAGCAGCTGTTCCCCTCTGCACCACACGCTGGTCTTTGGCAGGGAATGCCGTCTGAGTTTTGGTTTCTAAGAGGCCATTTTTGCAGTGATCCCAGATGAGGCTGCTTTTGGCCAAGGAGGCAACATTCCTCAGGTTCCTGCTCTCTGTTATCTGATCAAATACCTCGTGCCCGACCAGTTCGGGAACCTCCTGTACACCATACACCTCACAGGGCTGCACAATCTTTTCAAGTTTAGTATCAAAACTATTGAAAAAGTCTTCAGTCACTTCCAAGGCAGGGCTAATGTCATCAACTTCAAGAGCCTCCATATCCTGTGCTGTCGGTGGGCCTGAGGCGTCACAATGCGTTAAGAAGATACGACATCAACGTCCAGAGAAAGAGATGCTTCACCTCTGTCCTTGGCACACTGTTAATTTAGAGGTGGTGGGGCAAACCCATTCAGCAACCACAATCCTTAGCAGAAGAAATGAATCAGATCAGCCCGTCTTCAGGCAGGAGACGTAACATCCACTGATCAAGTGGTTACAGTCCCTCTATGAAATGAGCTCATAGTGCCAGAGAACACCTGTAAAGCAAAGCAAAACATTACGTCACAAAGGGCCTTTTCCGCGATAAAGATGCTTAATCACATTCAGCCTTTTCATGGTCACCGTCCCCTCGATTTTACTTTCTCCTCCATTTGGCACCAACGTTATTGTGTATTAAGAAGCTCTCAGATGTTTCAGTTGTTCACAGTGTATGAACTTCGCGTATTATCACTTCTCAAACTGCAGCTTGCAGAGAGCAGGATGGAGCACCACATAAAGGGGAACCAAAGTGATGCCATTTTTAAACAAAGTTTGAGAAAGCTGCACTGAGAGGACTAACACCACAAACGCAGCCACCGAGGCAGTGCTTCGTACAGGTTCCCGTGGGGCTGTAAGAAAAAGTTGAGAAATGAAGGGTTAGTATAATAGGCCAACCAATCTCAAACAGTTCGCCTTTTTCACCCAGATCGCTTGCACTCCCAATTTTAGGAGACCAACATGAGTTTTACAACAGCTACTTTGTCTACTTGACTGGATAAACGGAATTAAGATGTTTACCTAATAAATCAATGCTATTAGGCTGCTGCAGAGCATTGCACATAGAGTTTCTCTCCAAGATATCATTGGGAACCTAAGTGAAACCATGAAGCAAGCTAAGCCCCAGAAAGACAATACACTGTACTAGCAAAACAAAATATACCATATCCTGCACCATCACAAATCTGCAGATCTTTACCCCCAAACTGTTGAATCACTGGGCAAAACATAAGAACAGCAAAGAGCTTCAAGGCTAGAACTACTGAAGAGCTGTATTGACCTACCTAGGCTCATGCCTGTGAGGAGGAAGGAAGGGGGAGTTTCTATTCCCCGCAGCACAATAACAGATTTCTCACTGCTGACTTCTCTCACACCATGACTACCGCCTTCTAACCTCTCCCTCTTGAAGCTGCATCCACAGTGCTACCCTACTCGAGGGAAGTGCACTGCAGGTATGTTGAAATTGGGGAAAACAGTCAAACAGGTGCAAGTTCTTGGGACCTGGAGACAAGGCATTTGTAGTAGTGGGAGAACAGCTCTCTGGTAGCAGAAACCACAGCACTTAAAGCCAGTACATGCAGAGCAACTCAAAGTCAGAGATCTACATCCCAGTTTTGACCACATCAGCTCAAATGCCAGAAGCAGCAAAGCTGCATTAGCTCAGAGCTCTTCCTAGATTAATACACTCTTAACAGAACTAATTAGCCTGGGCAGGGCTGATAATTAGCAGCTCATTAGCTTGTGATGGCTGCTGGAGTGCTACCAGGACCCATGAAGACTTACACTTAGCAGGAAAAAACATCTATTAAACAGCATCAAACACATAATACTTCTATGTAAAGTTCTTAAGTTTTTTAATCCAGAACAGTGTACTTACCTAACTTCTATTAGCAAAGTTGTTTAAATAGGCACCTTTTCCTATAGCAAGCCAGAGGGAGGAAGGAGGCCAGCAGACCCCCAAGAAGGGGGTGCAGAATCCTGTAGCACAGACCAACCCCCTTTGCAACCACCTTCTGGCTTCCTCACATCCCTGCCAGCTGTGGCCAGCTGTGCTTGAAAGCAGCAACTCACCCTCTCTCCTAACATATTGACAGTTCAGACCATGATCTCTGCAAACACACTCTAAGTAAACAGCTTTCAAAACCAATAAATAATTGCATACACAACTCTGGAAGCTTCAGACCTTTACACTGGGATCTTTGTCCTTGAATCTCTTTGCCAGGATTCACTTCACCAAGCCTCACAGTGAACCAGGACTAGGATCAGCTTCAACAAATTTAGAGTGAGATACCGAAGGCAGAGCCAGAACAAACCAGAGGGCTGAACAAAACAGGTCTGCAGTGGCTTCAAACCAGAACAGTATGGAAGCAGACTTTTTGCAAAGCTGTACAACTGTGCCAGTTGATGGCTGTGGGAAATAAAGCTGTCCCGAGCACATCTGCACTGTCAGCTTAATGCAGCACAGAATTCACCCCTGAAGCTCATTTCTGCCAGCAACCCCAGAACAGCATTCTGCTTGGGAGCTCCAGGAACAGGCTAAGTGACACCATGTGGTGCAACCTGTCCACTTATTCTACATCCTCCTATAGCATGTCTTTAAAGCAAGAATGGTATTTTGAAGTTGCACAACTGCAACAGACATTCACTTGGAAAGAACCAGTGCTAACACAATCACACCAGCAGCAAAAGCTACAGGCTGGGCTATTCAAAGATGCTGCTTCACAGAAATTGGCAGAGAATGCAGCCTTACTCTCACTCGAGGGACTGGAGCAGCAATCACTCTCAAAGGGCTCATGACATGCCACTGAAGCATTTCAGTGACAGCAGGTGCAGTGCTGCTCTTTATTTTAAATCATTAGGAAAGGTGGAAAGCAAGGGGGAAAAATGACACATTTAACAGGTTCATTTTTAAATGCGGGAGGCTGCATGTGGCTGCATGTTTCTCTGGATTCTGTGGGACTGGATCTACCTAGTGTCATGCAGCCAAACGCGGTGATGTCAAACTGCAAACGGACCTCATACTCAGGAAGATGCTGAATCACAAGGTCATGAGAAGATGACAGTCCTCTGCATCACGCCGTTCACAAACTGCAGCACTTGTATCTTCCCAACTAGTCTGTTTAACCTGCTCGATAAAGATGTGAGAGGTGATCTCAATGGTGGCAGGCTCATCTCTTCCTACACTGCCAAGAACCTCCTTAGATCAAAGAAAGAGTTGTGCCAGTAATTCCCACCAGCACTGGGATTCCACAGTCACATATCCTCCACAAACACAATTTGGCATTTTCTGACAGTGGCTCTCAACAAAAATTTAATTCAGACTTTTGCAGGAATCTGGTGCCAAATGAAAGCAAAATTTGATATGGCCGTAAATACCTCCATCAGAACCTTTTCCAGGAGGGAAAGCAGTGGAAATCATGTCCTTCACATGAAGGGGGGAAAACAGCAAACAACAGAATAGGATAAATTACTTTTAAATTACTGTAAAGGTGTTGCCTTATGTATTGTTTCTTGGAAATATCTTAAATTTTCCAAAGACGTTCAACATAAGTCATAAACATTAAGTGAACAGGAGAGGAGGGAAGTACCAGTCCAAACTATTAAAGACTGCCAAAGCTAAAGGAAACTGCAAGCAGGGATTTGTTACAGGAAGTAAAAACCTAACAGCTCATCCAGGACCCTGGCACCCAGTCTTAGTAAAAAAAAGGCAAAGAAACACAGTGCATTGTACTCAGCAAAATTGTTGGACACAGGGACTGAGCAGCTGAAAAAGATGCTTTTCTATATGTCTGTCTAGCATAGATACAGCTTTCTTCTGTGAATGTGCACCACTCATAATTAATGTGCACTTACAACGTGAGTAAAGTCTTTACTATTACAAGTTTATAGTGGCCACATTACTCATAGGGATGAGGTAAATAGCAAGGATTGCTGGTCACGCCACATGAGAGACAAGTTCCACTTAGTCAAGATTACTTCCCTTAGAGAGGCCACAACGACTTCACTTAGGTGACAGCACAGTCTGACAGACAGAGAAAAATCACAGACGACACTAGGATCATAGAATCGTTAAGGTTGGAAAAGACCTCTAAAATGATCAAGTCCAACTGTCAACTCAACAGTATCATGACCACTAAACCATGTCCCAAAGTGTCACGTCTGCATGTTTTTTGAACACCACTTCCCCAGGCAGCCTGTTCCAATGCTTCATCATTTTTTCAGTAAAGAAATTTTTCCTGGTATCCAATCATTTAACTTCCTGATGTGTTTTTGATTATCCATAGGCCAGGGAAAATACCCAGGCATCACATGGCAAAAAGCACAGAAAAGGCAAGCCTGAACAACCTCAGCTGTGACCTGAATGTCTGCCAGTGGCAATCTGCATAACCACAGCCTACAGGTTTTGCTGCTGCAGAGATTTCTGACTAGGTCTGTGGGTCACACCAGCCACGTATTGCCAGAAGCTAAATGGGACACACTTATCTAGAATCACAGAATAGTTTGGGCTGGAAGGTACCTTTAAAGGTCATCTAGTCCAACCCCCCTGCAGTGAGCAGGGGCATTTTTAACTAGATCAGAGTGCTCAGAGCCCTACCAAGCCTGACCTTGAATGCCTCCAGGGATGGTGTCTCCACCACTATGTGGCTGAAGACTTAGGTGCTACCTCTTAGTTAAGAAGTTGAGTTGTACTTGTCAGGTGGGCACATCTGAATGTGTAGAAGAGAGAATGAGGATGCACAGATGGCTGACTGTCATGTACAAAGTCTCTACCACTGCCCATGTACTTCTGTACATGGCTGGCACAGCACACCTGCAGAAAAAGTTGAAGAAATGACAGTGGCAGCACAATGCAAGGTACTGTGGCGTGCTCTCTTTCCAGCACGCCCTGCTCTAACTAGATAGCAGATGACGCTTTATTTATTTGCAGTATAGGCAGGCCTACTCAGCAAGTGTTCTGCACCTTGTTCTGACCAGAAGCTCTTCCAAAGCACGAGGGCATCCAGGTCTCTCTCCGAGCCAGGAGCCCCCCCTCCTTTAGCTGTGCGGGAAGCAGAGTGCCACAGCTGCTGTGGCTGAAGCCTCTGCATACGACGTCCCCAGCCAGGTGCATCGTACTGTGTGCCATCCAGTCGCAACCAAGGAGCAGTCCTGGTTCAAAACACACTCTTAGCGGTTACGAATCCCGCACATACAGTGGCCGGTTCTCTGAGTAGCAACTGAAAGCTGCATTACTGCTTGCCTCT